TCGATAAAGAGCTGAAGCTTTATCGTGATATTAAAACAACAGTTATCACACGATTGGCGTGTGAAAAAATTTAACGCATTTAATTGTATCGAGCAAGTCGTTTGCCGGTGGTATTAAAATTCACTTACTTAATCGATTTGTGTAATGATTCGATTTGTTTCGTTGCAATTTTTTTGTCACGCATTGGCCGATCTGACCGAGACGTGCATAAAAACGTCGGCAGTACGCAAGCTTGTCACTGTCACTGGAGCTTTTTAATGTTAACAAAATAAATGGGTTGTTAGATTGTAACGTCAACGTGGTAACTTATGAATTTACACTATAAACATTTTAGACGTTAAGTATTAAGACATAAATCTTTCTATTCAGTTGGAACGTACCCAATAAATACACTTTTATCACAAATCCCAATGATTTATGTCCGTTTTTATTTTTAATAATACTTAATACGTGCATTTAAGAAATCAAACAAAGGATTTCTCTCGTTAAACATATTTGTATTTGGAACGTCAGGTTCACGGGCCGCGAGGTCGCAGTTACCACGAGAACGTCTCGCCGGGTGTGGGCCTCCACGGGCCTGAGGATTAACCGGCCGTTTTCAAAGAGCGGCCCGGATTAAGGACGGCCTCTGAGTCGTGCACGACCGCTTTATTCGATAGGGCAACTGTACTCGCTCGAGCTCAACTCTACTTAACATTCTAACAGAATGTACGATGTCGCCAATAAAATCCCGACCTGGATTTTTTTCTATGATAACATTTATAAGGGCCCTGTTCACACGGTCTTGCACAAGCTAGCTCCAAGAGAACCACACTTTACAGTACCTATATCACCTTGTTTGACTTGTGTCATTGACTAATGAAGTTATGAATTCAGATTCGAATAAATGATTTGCACAAGAATTTTTGTGTAATAAATAATTCGCCAGTTCAACGACCCGCCCGATCCGAGATGCCAATATAGGAAGTGATAAAAATAATTAGAAACCATTAATAAATAAAATGCGCTTAATGGTGATAAAAAATCATATTTATCTAGCTTGCTGCTAGGATTTGCATATTTTTTTCTAAATTGACGTATTATACTGCCAGCTCTTCCGACGACCGACACTTCCTATATAACGCCGATGAGTGATTGAACGCACACGTGAATTCGAACCTTAAAACAAAACGCATACGCGTCATTCTTTTAATTATCCGCAAACTTATAGTTGTGTTCGTATGTATGTAAAAAAGAAACCTGTCTAAAGCAATGTTACCGCACCGGGTAAAGTGTGAAATACGAAATCACGACTCTTCCACTTGTCCGGGTGTTTGCGTTCCAAATATTTTCGTCGTGTCGAAACATTACCAGAAACCGATCGGCAATGACGTTTTTCATAATAAAACACGGTTGAGGTACAATATTGTAACTATGGTATTGACCGAATCCGACGAGTGCTGCGTACCGTGAGTGACCTTGTTCTATTTTACACAAACACGTCCGAGGCTGAGAAGATTTGTACTTACCTTTTCGGAATTCAAAAGTTTTTTTTTTTTTTAATTTTCCCGGTCATACACTAATCGTCTACAACAAAAACCAACAAATAAGGCGAACATCTGTTGCGATTTGTTACCGCCTTCGTTTGAACAATAAACGGAACAATAGCGTCCGAAACACGTGGAAGGAAAGCCGGCTCCGAATCTTCGGACACCTGATTGCTTCCTTTTGTCCTGGGCATTAAAAGACCCAAACACGTGGCGCTTACAAACGAGACTGACAAAAGCACGGGCCCGTTCCCACGACTCCTCAGATTCCTTAATTAATAACAAAATACCATCACCGGTATGGGAGTAGCCTCTTTAGGCACCCTCATAAAACGATTATCAAATAATACTACGCCGTTCGGGTCGAGCATTATCAATCTATCGCTACGTATAAGTCTTTAATAGAGTTTAACGCATCGCTCTCAGACGATAAGGGTTAATGTGTCTCGATTCCGGCACGATGTCTTCCCGATATCGTGTTTTACAAACGTTATAAAATTTTCAAGGAAAACGAACATTTCAATTCGGAACGGTCCGTAATTAACGCGATGCCAATGGACACTGTCGGCCATAGAAGTTTTAATCTATTATAGAACACCTCGCGAGTGTAACGATTTTATTGCCCTCATTTGACTCGTAACAGTTTACGTACTACGGTATGTAGGATAGATTAAATATTTAGAGATATTAGAGTAGAATATATACTGGCGTTCCGATGCACTGCAGGTTTTTTTTATTAGAATTGGGTATTTCTTAATGATTGACCGTAAAACTCTTTTAATTTTTAAAAGCTTGTGTTTCTCCAAGTAACTGAAAAATACAGTCGAGATTAATTATTATAAATCATTTACCAAATTAGGAATGCATAATTAATTTAAAATTTTCAAAAAATACTAAATCAAAAATTACGGTGAATATAGGATCTATTATGAACATAATTTACCACACATTACACAATATGAAAACTGACTATCTCTAATTCAATTTACTTGCTGATGTATATTGACTCCGGCCACCGCTTCGTACCGGGTAAACCGTAATTACGTCTGCCTATAGAAAATTAATAAAAATCGCTACACAACAACAGAGGTTACTTCTCGACCGAGATCCGTTAGTCATCGTCTAAACATCGCAACTCCTTAGTACGGTATGAACAGTTCGCCGCGTTCGTAAAGTCTAGCACCACACGTACGCTTACGTCGGCCGCTTTTTATGGGTCGACTCGAGAGTCACTGCCGTGGGAACTGGCATATACTTACGTGCGCTACAGCTGACCGAAATGCGTTCTCCATACTCAATTAACAAACCAATACAATAAGTCGCGATATTTGATGGAACGCACACACCGAATCATTATAGTGTATTTTGACAATCCTCTTTCGATCTTCATACCGGTCGGCGTGTACAAACATTGATAAAGTTTGTAATGGGGCGTTAGGGCTCAATATTGTTTGCGCATGTAAGTGTGTCCTCAGTCTGTTTGGTATTCAGCGGGAGACGATAACACGTCCGCTCGCATTGTACGAGCTTTTAAAACATATTATAAATTCGTCAAAACCTAACACATCGTATCGGAACCAATAATCTAGCGATAAGTCGAAGCGACCAAGTTTTTTCCCTAGCTTTGTGAAACCATAGATTTCTAGTATTGATTACAATAACGCATCGTTTTTTCTTGATCTTCTCTTAGACAGCTAATAATGTAAATGTGTCTATTGTTAGATGCAAATGAAGTTTTCATTGATTAGCTCTAATTGGCTGGGGGCGACATCTGTCAGGAACAACTGAATCATATCGGGTCGGACATTAAGCGGTGACCTCTCACATCCGCGAACGCAGCTGTCTGGACACGACCCACGTGACACGTTCCTTATAATTACGCACACGAGCGTCCTCCTTCCGTCTTAACGAACTACATTCGGCCCTCATAAATTTATCTATTCATCAACGAAGAATACTACCGCACACAATTTGTCATAGCGTATTGCACAAATCTAAATTAAATTACACGAAAGTTTTTACGAGTGGCCAGATAATTTCCTCGTTAGAACCGACGACGATTTATGAATAAACTTATGGCTTGGCCCGTAACAGCCCAGATATAATTGGTAACGTTATGTGGGCTATCTGGTGTTCCAAATTGGTTACCGCAAATATTTTCTCCATGTTGATGTAATGATGCATTAATACGCATGACGATTGCGACAGAGTTGCCTTTCAAAAAAGAATATTTAATGTTAGATCTACGATAAATGAACGGAAAAAAAGAAGGAATTTCCATAGGGCCCTATCTTTTTTTAATTAAACATAATATTTCCTAACGATTGAAGTCAAACAAACCGAAGCAAAATCAATGTTTATTGTGAGCGGGAACATTCCTCCAGCGGCTCGGAGCGATGCAATCATTTGTAGACGAACAAACCGGTTAACGTTGGGAGAGATTTCATAAACCAGCCCGATGAAGCGCTCACATTTTCGCATGAGCGGAACTCAGCTCGGCCCAACCATAAAACCCATTGATAATTTCCGTCACAGGCGCCTAAAAGGTGTTGACACCGCGTTATCGGTTTTAATCGGAAGATTCGACTGCCGTTTCGCCTTCTTGTGTCAACAAGGAGTCGTGTCAATAACATGGTATCAGATATGCGCTCGTTTGTATCGGTATTGCTCGGTATTTATTTTCTTGTGAAGGCACGTACAATATTATCCCGTATTGGTCGAGTCGAATGCGTCTGCAACTACTAAACGGTCTATATTGAAACTGCCTAAGGACATCTGCCATAATCCACCTGTCGCTCACGCTGCTAATTTGCACGACCACATAATGAACTAAACTATTTGTATACTTAACTGATGTTCAACGGCTAACAGAGTTTATAGGCACATGTAACGTCCATATTGAAACTTGAGGTCGATGATAATTGTACGACGATTTCAAACTGGAATGCATAACTGCTCCGGGATTGTGATAGACAGGATAGAGATGCCTATCCGCGCGAACTCACAATAGGCTCGACCGGGAGTAGAAGCTTTTTGATTATTCGTTGTAATTCAGGTGCTATCTGTTATAAGTGTTCTGTTATTATTATTAAACATTTAATCTTAATAATCATATAAACCGATATTTAGTGCGTGAACAAGCATAGAGTTGTCCTTTTTTTCTTTTTTGTTGCTTTGATAGGTGGACGAGCTCACAGCCCACCTGGTATTACGTGGTTACTGGAGCCCATAGACATCTACAATGTAAATGCGCCACCCACCTTGAGATATAAGTTCAAAGGTCTCGATATAGTTACAACGGTTACCCCACCCTTCAAACCAAATACTGCTCACGGCAGAAATAGGCGAGGTGGTGATACCTACCCGTGCGGACTCACAGGAGGTCCTACCATCAGTGTCTTTTTGAATTCACTCGACCGCGAATTACAAAAAGTAAGATTTTATAAACATTTTTTTTTGTTTTTCATTTTTCAGGGCACATTCTCGCTTATAGTGGAAGCGTGGCACGACAACAACGACACATCCAGAACTGACGGTGAGTAAATAAAAAAAAAACTTTATTTATACAAAAACTTAAGACAACACTCATACAAACACCTGCTCGTTAAGCGTTTTAGTATTGTTTATCGCGCTATTCCTAGTTCCTATAATATGCCTTATTCATTAACGACAATAATAGTCCGTACCCTCACTATAATGCAGATGGTCGATCAGTATCGCTGGGCTCGACACGCTAAATACTCCTTCAGACGTTTGATTTACAGCTAGCTTTTAACGTACATTATGATAAAAGAATCGTGAAAAAAAAAAACGTATCGAAAATGTAAAAATCACATCACGTAGTCCACGACTCGCTCACATTCAGGCTTCACTGTAATTCTGGGTGTTTATCGTTCATTTAACGAACAGTATGTATATTTGAATGCTCATATTATCATATCGTGGAAGACAAAAATGTTCCCATGGCGTGGTCGATTTGTGTTCCAAGCACGCCGGCTCGCGCGTGATTCGCTTCGCAATGCCCGCACTATTCTAATAAACTCAGCCTTCTGTAGGACGAAAATTTAGTAGAAATGTTCTAATGTATTCGTATGGCCGTTGACCGACACGCACACGTCGCCACGAACATAAATTACATAGGATAAATTGGTTACCCAATTTAACTAACATTGTATAAAAGCGAAACGGATACCACATGCTCAAATATTATTTTAAATGGTACGCCAATAGGGCGTTGCGGTGCAGACCGATGTCACGAGATTTCTAATCGCCCAATAAAGAATCGACGTTTATAGCTTACAGCCTGTACCTACATGCGAAGTGGCGTGACCGCTAAAACCTTTCAGAATGAAATGTAATCAATCCTTTGACTCGTAAAATCATAATGATCATTCGCATCCTGTAATACCTTAATAAACATATAGTTTGAACATAGAAGTAGGTGTTGCTTGAAATTTTCATATTTATAAAAATGGCAGACGCGAAAACAGGTCGGTTACGCCCCAATCTTAATTAGATTTTCATCCTGCGCTGCACTCTGACCGACATAATTACTACTCGTCGGACAGGTAACAAAAACATCGGTGATTTACTTATGAGATTTAAAGATACCACGAGGTGTGTCTACAGGCCGGTTTACCGAAAATCATTAGCGTCCGAAGTGAATAGGTTAGGATGGGTATATTTTTAATACGGCTCGGGAGCGATGGGCGGCGCCTCCTCACTACCGAGAAACGTAACCAACAGAAATCTAATCAAGCGTAATAACAGGTTACGTGCAAGCCGTTTGTGTTCACTCACTATCTACTCACTGACTTAATGCTTAATTAAATCACATTTGGATTTTAATCCGCCCGTGGTACGTCTAAGCAGCTGCGTGCGACTTAGAAAGCGACCGTTGCGCTTTGCACAAAACTAATCGTTCACCGCGACCCCCGAACATTTTTATGCACGAGACGATCCGTGAAGAATGCGATTGTGCGACACACGTATAATGAATTCAATATATCATAGATAAACAAGGGCCTTCTGAGATCCCGAGGATTCACGACTGTGAAAGGAATATTCGTGTCGAAGAATATAATAATAGTCTACCGGCAATTTCGAATGACGCTTTTGCGCTCACCGAAATCTTTTGTGTTGCGCCCGAGGCGAAGCAACCGCACCTGGTCGAGACTAACGGACGCGCGCATTGTTTACTTAGTTCGCGTTAAAAAATATACCTCCGAGGGAAGTCAGGTTTACACTACGTCTTTCGTCGTCGTAGGGCTTGAACTTCATAAAAAATCACGGAAGGCGCTCCGGAAGGCTCAATTTATGATGTAACAAGCGACTTGGCGCTCTCAGGAAGCGCTGTCGACAGATGCTCAGCATATGCCCCGCGGATAGTTGGGCACACTCCCGGTCTGTCTTTTGTTCAACGGGAAGGTATTCTCGGACCATTCGATTATGACTCGTGTAAATTAATTTCACGTGAGACAAACGCGTGAACATTTAAGTGTGCGAGATTGTGTAGAGTAAGTATCGGGGGGCAGGTCGTCGCGTCGCCTGAGGCCGGCTACTGCTCGCCGCGGCCTGGCATTACACGACCGAGATGGGATTATCGATACAGTTATGTTGTGACGGCCCGCTTATCTCAGTCCGGCTGTGCGTTATTAGTCAATTCGTTACTGCGGCTAGCTCCTCGTGCGCGGTTCCCACCACTCTCTCCGGTCTCATTATGATTACTTTACAACGTTAATTGCCTTTCATAAAGGTTAACCGTTCGTATGGAAATGTAACGAATACATTGCGCAACCCTAGGCATTCATTGAGCGCTCGCTGCGGAACCAAAAATGTACATTTTCTCAATAAAACAATGGCGAATCCGAAACGTCATGCGTGTCTTACGCGAAATCTCTTAAACGTCTTCATTCGGACTCTCGAAGTTGAGAACGTCGTACACTTGAGTTGTTTATTGTATAAGAGGCGATGGAAGTCTCCGCGGCGCACTCACTGGCCTCAAATGCTCTTAGAGATAGAAGTGGGCAGTTTTATAAACAAAGGGAGTGGCGTCGTCGCTCGGACGGCTCATTGATGAGATGTTCCCACAGAGCGCCGCGGACCGGCCGGGCAGGTGTCCGAATCGAGACGAGTGGAAAACGACGCGTCGACTCAGCGACGCGGGCCTTAGACGCGGAAAACGGTCGTCGAACCAACCGAGTCCACGTTTTCGATTTCATTCATACACCACGACTTCTTAAAGATTTTGATATCATATAATAATAATTAATTTAATCACTACATAGTATAAAACAAAGTCGCTTTCTCTATCCCTATATCTGTCTGTCCCTATGTATGCTTAAATCTTTAAAACTACGCAACGGATTTTGATGCGGTTTTTTTTAATAGATAGAATGATTGAAGAGGAAGGTTTATGTGTATAATAACATCCATTAAATAGTGGAGAAATCAATAATAAATTACAGTTTCCGAAGCGAAGCGAGGGCGGGTCGCTAGTATTATTATAAAGCTGAAGAGTTTGTTTGTTTTATCGCGCTAATCTCAGGAAATACTGGTCCGATTTGAAAAATTCTTTCAGTGTTAGATAGCCCATTTATTGAGGAAGGCTATAGGCTATATAACATCACGCAGATATCAATACAAACGAGCACCAATAAAGAATGTTTCAAAATCGGGTTTTTTTTCCCTTTCGCTGCGTGCATTGCGGAAACTGTTAAACTTTCACTAAAATGTATGACAGAATTATTCCCCTTTAAAAGATCTAAAAAAAGGCCGCGACAGCAATCTATATGTTAAGATTGACTCACTATAACGTTTTTTATGCTAACCAAATTTGTTCTAAAATAAAGCATTATTTAAGCATAAAGATTTTTTTATAAAGATGATATTCTTGCCTTATCCTTAAAATTTAGCGTTATGCCAAAGTAACTATTACGCGCAGACGAAGTCGCGGGCAAAAGCTAGTATAATAATAAAACCCAAAACCACGATACGACGGTAGATCGCGTGCAATCCCCAAAAACTGTATACAGACAGCCTAAATCGTGTGCGTTCGCTTCCAATAGCTCAGCAACAAATTATTGGTTATTTGGCTTTCTTTTGTTTTTGTTTATCGGTCTTCGCCGTTCGAATTTATTCTCATTTTATTTGTAGTGACCTCTGGGTCTGTAATTACATGTTACCCGGCGCAGCAGCGGCGGGCAGCACGTACTCACAATCGAGTCCTTCTTTATATGTGTTATTTATTTGTGAATCGAGACTACATTAATAGACACGACTCAATTTCATTTAATAGATGATTTAAAATTATAACGAACAGTTCAATTTTAAAATTATTTAATTAATCCTATAAAACGTAAGCTATATGGTATAAAAAAACTGTTTTATTTTTTAAATTATTGGAGATGGAATTTACAATTCATTCCACCGGTACAGTAACAAAGTTGAACACCCTTTGTAAGCACTGTCCTGGCGCACTAAGCACCGAAGTGTAGAACTACAAGTCCAACAGAGATGCCATATCTCTCGACTGCACATTCGAAATAGCACTAGCAACGTTCCCACACCAGAAGAATGTTCTAAGTCATCGCAGCCTACTTTAAATTTCAGAACTGACCTATCTCTAATTGAACAAAATTACTGCCACTCGAAGCACTAAAAGTTCATTATTTACTCAACGAACTGAACATAAATTCCTCATAATAATTTAATAGGTCCCAAAATAGTCCGGTGAGCAGATCAAAGATCGTTCACATGTGAAGTGCATCTCTAAATATCGTTCTTAAACGCTGGTATCGACGGTGCCGGAATAAGGCATAGTGCACACGATTTACGGACACGGTATACGCTTACACAGATCGTATCTGTCCAATAAATCTAAAAGATAAAACGCTTCTCCAGCGCTCGTGTGCTCCTCGCCTAACGAAAACACAATCAATCCGATGATATCAATTTATTCCTATGTTTCTGTTCGTTTAATACCGCATTTCGTCGATTATGAAATATGCCCGGCATTTCCATTTGTTTGGCCGCTCTGTACTTTAAATATATGTATTTATAAAGAATTTATTTTAAATTGTAACAGTTTTATAACCTCAGAACTATTGACCTGTTTTCGTATATAGAACACAAATAATCCGGTCACTGTGCTATTTTCAGGTAACAGATTCATCTGTAGGTAATGATCGTGTACGACACGAGACTAGTGGCTATAGAGAACATTAAAACAAAAAAAAAAACAAAAAAAAAACAAAAAAGAAGCATTCGAATACCATACGCCACAAAATTAGTTGGGATCGATCGTTTTTACGTACCTTTTAATTTTGTTTCGCGTCTGGTTTAATTTTATCTGTCGGGATTACCGGCTTAGGAATGTACCCGGCGTGCAATAAGAATAAAAAGCGGCCATACACGATGAGAAATAAATAAAGGTAGGACTGGTCGCTGGCTGAGATTTCTCGGCTAGGGTTGCTGGTAGAACGTAGCTCTATATAAAATAGTCGGTCTGCGTACATAATGAGTTTAAATTCTGTTTACAATTTTATGGGTAGCTGACGGATCTTTATCGTTAGGTTAACGAAATGATGAGAATTCGAATTCGTCTGATAAAACTTAACTAGAGATACTTTCTCGGAACTACATCAAGACAGCCCTGCCACAAGTGGTCCATTGCTTTGCTCGGGTGAATAGAGTGGCAATTTTTTGAACTGTAGAATCTTCACATACCAGTTTTTATGGTCACTTACGTAACGCCATCCAGACCGGCTCCGCGTGTTTTTCTAAGCAATTTCTTAGCGTAGATTACAAGTAACGAGCATAAAGAATGTTGTTAACTTTTAATCAATCACACAACAAGCGCCCGAGTCGAATCAAAACAGTGAATCAGAGAAGGGAACAATGAGATCTCACGGCTGAATGCGGGCGTCAAATGGTCGACATTAACAGGTCAATTTACTTCTTTAATCCGTTCCCACGGTGATAAACAAATAACGTAACGTGTTTTTATTCCTATTTTATTAATTAAACGAATACCAATGGAATTCACCGAAAGCACGACAAAGATCGTAAAATGAATCCGTCACGCCTTCCTCCGTCGGACAACGCGTCGGCGTTCGCGAAACCTCCTCATAAAAACATTCGTTCCCAGTCTTTTGTTAGGCATTCGAATGTCTAATTTATAATTGCAGATATGGGCAACGTTCGAAAAATATCGAAGCCATCGAAATAAACCGTAAAATGATACATACCGTCCGTCCAAAAAACTGGTTAAGACCGCAATCAGGTTAATTGTGATATCTAAACGTTTCCGTGGCCAAACTAAATCACACGATTAAGTCACGACTAATCGGAAACTTTCTTGCAGATGCGTTAATCGGCCGAATGACGAAGCAAAGTGTGGCCGATGTCGGAGGTCCGTGGATAGAGGAGGAGCAGCGTTGGGGAGGTCCGTCCGAAGCGCACTTAAGGGTTTCGTTCCGAGTCACCTGCGCTCCCCATTACTACGGTGCCGGCTGCGCTGTGCTGTGCCGGCCCCGGGACGACAGCTTCGGCCACTACACCTGCTCGTCTGCCGGGGAAATCGTGTGCCAGGATGGATGGACCGGAGACTATTGTAGCAAACGTAAGTAATCTATACTATTACTACATTACTTTACTATAATATTATAAAGAGGAAAGATTTCTTTGTTTGTTTGTATTGAAAAGGCTCCGAAATTACTGAACAGATTTAAAAAAATATTTTATTGTTCGGTAGCTACACTATTCCCGAGTAACATAGGCTATAATTTTTTTTGAAAAAAATTAGGGATCCTTATTAAAACTCCAATAATGTAACGCAAGGTGTAAAAAAATTACCTAAAATATTCTTTACATCGCGTGCCCTGCGAAAAGTATTGATGATAAAATAAAATAATGTACTACGACTTTGTAGAACACATTATTATTTACAAAAAGTGTCGCGACAGCAAATTTTTGTTAAAGACCCGAGCGGAGCCGGAGCGTACCGCTAGTTTTTAATAATCATGAAAAGAACATATTATGTGTTTTAGCTATTATGATCTTCAGAGCTGCATTTCATTTGAAACAAATCGTGTTTACACGCTTTGGTGTAACTAAGGAATTTTATAATGATTTCATAATGAAATTAAAGGGTCCACAACAGTAAATGCGATGTTCCCATAAACCAAAAATACAAAATATAGAACATGCCATAATTCGTTTCATCCTCATTAAATGTTATGACAATTTTTAACTTCACATCCTTTCACGGACGTAATTACATTGTTCGTCTCATGCATAGAAACATATTATAATGATGTAATATAAATTCTGGGACACACCCAGAATTCGTTTGGAAAAGAAGTGGAGATCAAGATTTTGCGCGCGCTTAATGTAATACTACAAAAATATCTGGCCATTTAGTGTGATTTAATTGCATGATTAATGCGTACTTTTTTTTTGTCTACTAGAGCTGATTTAATTTATCCGACTCTTAATCTGTAACGTGCTTTAATTATTTTTGATCGATTTTTTTTTCGATCTCCGAATTATCGATTGATGTTCCATTAGGCCGACATGCGGATAAGCTGAGCTTTCCGCTCCGAATGAACTTATAACTCATCGTAAATCGTATCGTTAATTAGAACAACTATAAGTCGAAGACTTCCCGTGCTATCGGCCGACCTCCAAACAGAACTAGAGTTTAATCACGTTTTTAATCACAATAAAATACAGAGATAATTGTCTTAATTTCATATATTTAACTCGTATGTTATTGTAATGTTCAAGTTTCGACTCATAAAAATGTAAGTGTATGACGCATTCACTTCTTAATGGGATCATAAATTCCATTATATTTGTTACTACAGCGTTAATTAGCTTTTTTTTTTGTTTTATTTCATAATAATATTTTAGCCTTTATTGTGTCAATGGCTCCACGGTTCAAAGCTTAAGTGTCCATTCTATTCATAATTAAATACCAGACACCTCCTCGTTGAGGTCAAATAAAACTGAATTACCTAAATAACTCCAAATACTTACTGGTGGTAGGACCTCTTGTCTGCCTATTTCTGCCGTGAAGCAGTAATGCGTTTCGGTTTGAAGGGTAGGGCAGCCGTTTTAGCTATACTGAGGATCTTAGAACTATTATGTCAAGGTAGGTGGCGGCATTTACGTTGTAGATGTCTATGAGCTCCGGTAACCACTTAACACCAGGTGGGCCGTGAGCTCGTTCACCCTCCTAAGCAATAATTTAAAAAAACTTATAATTTACATATAAAATCTCCGTAATTTTAAGTTTATATTAATATTTATCATTAAAATCAATAGTAACATACATATGTGCTGCCGTGAATTGTTCCCGTAGTGAGCCTTTATTTATTTATTACACTTCATGTAAAATTTACATTGGGGGACTTAATGCCTAAGGCATTCTCTACCAGTCAACCAAAGGTAGTGCAGAGTAAACAGTGGTAGGTGCCTTTAGTGATCAAACTATTAATAACTTTTATTTGTCACGGTTTATTAGCAGCGTGTGACCGTCCCGTGTGGGCCGTTTCACATTTGTAAACAAATCTTTTGTATATACGGGCGGCGCGGCGTCTATCAATAAAGCCTCGTGAGCGGTAATTTAATAATTCGAGTGTCATTAAGAGGTAGTGACGTGTGTTAAGCACATCGCTCGGTACGTGTATCGTAAAACAAAGTCCGCCTCAGATGCATTGTGTGTCGGGCGGATGTCGCGACGCAATCTCGGCGGCTCGGGCCTCCCCACCTGCCGCGGCGTTCCCACACTCGGGCGCCGCAAAAAACGCGACCGACTGAGACGGAAGAACTTGTTCCACGTAGCGCGCCATCTCGCTCGCACGCCAGGGCTGCCTGCCCGCGCAGCCTCCACGCATCACGATAACCACGAAATCACAATTTTCTGGAAAACCTAACGATTGTTATCCGTGGATCGTGTGTTCGATATTCGAAATGCTTTTGATATTTAAAAAAAAAAACGAAAGCTGTCGATTAAAACAAAAAACGCTCTGTCTCCAACTTTCACGTATAGTGGCCGAGTAATCTGAAACATCTATGGTAATAACCGACAGCCCTATCAGAGATGTTTGTATCGACTATTACGAAAATGTAAAAGCCAGAGAAGCGGTCGTAATGTAATGAAAACAACGTTACACGGTCGCGCACTCACACACGCCCGCAACGGCATACACACCTCGAACCGGGTCAAAAACACATTTAAACGCGAACCGAACACGAATCGAAATAAACTCCGCACTTGACCGTACCACGGATATCGGTTCGCGTCTGCGAAACGGTAACGCGTCTTCGGAGAGCGTTACGATCCCGAAAACCAACTTGCATGTCCCGACCGCATTATGCGGAGCCCGCCTCGTCCGTAATAATGGGTCGCGAGAGAAATCCTTTACCACCGCTCAATTTCATCTAATTGTTGACGAGAGTAAAGTTCTCACGATTATTACCTTCTGTTTTGAATTGCGAATCCCACGCGCACTCGGTTTCCGTTTCGGACGAAACCAGATGTTGAGATTTGACAAATATTTGCCGAGAACATGTGGGAAAGATCCACCGGGAAGGTCGCAGTTTTTGTCGTTACCTGACTTCGGGATGGCTGTATCGCCGAGGCCTTGATCGCACTGCGACGTACTGAGTCTTTCATTACAAATCGATACAAGTTCGTTGATATAAATTAATTAATACGCGGCGGAACAGTGCTACTGTAACTTTTTTGTGCCCACTCACGATCCAAATTGTTTTTGAAGTGTAATTTTTACTACCTTTTTACTACTCGAGGGTCAAGATAAGCTCGAGTGCAAGCGCCTGCTCCTTGGCGCGATGCAATGAGCAATAACATAGACACTTGAATCTTTGATCTATCTTTGTGGAACCGATTTACCGGTGGCGCCAAAGAGCATTTTTTCTCACTGCTCTCTTGTATTTTGTGTACTTATATAAATGAGAAAAGGCCGCGAGAATCGATTGTTTACAACTGTCATTTATTTTCGAAAGTACAAAGCTTTCGTGAAAGCGGAATAAGCTATATCAATTTCCTGCGCAATAAAAAAAAAGCCGCGATTATCTAGCAGTGGCGCGAATTTGCTTGCCAATTTTAAGTCTGAGATTTAAGCCGATTTGCGAACTACCCGGCCGTGTTTAACAGTCGCAAGGATTAATACTCTTACTTACTCTTCACTCCCTATTTTGTCGAATTAATTCTGATAGTATAGGGAGAGGACAGAGCTACATAATCCCTTGTATTTGGCGGATTTTATGTTCCGAATGTTTTCGAAGCTATGTGAAGCAACAACTTGATTCATCTGTTAAGTCTTTCAGTCCCTGCACAAGTCTTAATAATTAATATAAGTTGGTACTATCAAAATGGCGTCTAGTATTTTTCTAGCGAGTTAGGGGAATAGTAACGGTCGAGTGACGGTTATACTCCCCGCGCTATCTGCCCCCTTTGTATTCGCTCCGATAACTTACCCATGCGCACCCGACCGATACGACTCCGAGCCGCAAGTCTTATTACAAAAGACTACTTTAACTAACAATCGTTATACATTACTGGATTTACTTACAACATGTAAATCGATGTGAGCATTCACTGCGGCATGTATGCGACCTCTTGACGCGAATCATTTGTCTTAATACCAAGGAAACTTTGGTAAGGTTCGCTGGTTCACGAACGTAAATCACTAAGTTAACGATGCGCAAACATCACGTCTAATTTAACTAGAAATACCACCATCTAGTCTTACTACTTGTAGATAGGAATTTAGGTAATTCTCGTATTAGAATCTTTGGGTAGTCATCATATATCTGTACAGCCAACCTAGCCATGTTGGACATAAGGCCTCTCCAAATCTGCGGCATTTATAATTTGCATTAAATTGATTGAAAGGTCAAGAAGAAGAGCTGATCATGGCTCGCAGTTACGAGTGTGCGAGCTGAGATAAATTGTGTGTGCGCGTGACCTCGCCCCCGGCTGGGAAGCTAACGAACCGCTCTCTTTGTGGCGCTCACCGTGTCCTTTACGACGGAACTGCGCTAAAATCTTCCCCGCATCCAATCCCATCTCAGTGACTAATCTCGAGTTTGCCCCTATTTATTATTTAAAAACCCATTAGCGAGAATACCTTTGTGCTCCTTTGTCTCGGTGATGCGCTAACGAACGTTTTGTTTTTGTTTCAGCAAAATGCCTGGCCGGCTGCGACTCCGAGCACGGTTACTGCACCAAGCCCGACGAATGCATGTGAGTACCCACTTCACACCTTTGTGCTAAATGAGTAAAGAATCTCCCTCCGCTTCTAAATCATTCATCCGTTTCTTTGTTCCTCGAATAGAGAAAGGCGCACTTTTTAGTGGCTCGTTATCACGTTGCCTTTTACTCACGGTCGTTTCTCTTTAATTACAGATGTCACTCGGGGTGGGTGGGCAAACGCTGCGATAAGTGCGAGCCGCATCCGGGATGCGTCCACGGGACCTGCTCGAGGCCCTGGGATTGCATCTGCAAAGAAGGTTGGGGTGGACTTTTCTGCAACCAAGATCTGAACTACTGCACCAATCACCGACCGTGCAGAAATGGAGGCACTTGTCTTAACACCGGCCAAGGCAGTTATACTTGCGTGTGTCCACCTGAGTATACGGGATCGGACTGCGAGAAGTCTCTACACTCATGCGCCGTACGCCCTTGTCTCAATGGAGGCCTTTGCGTACCAGATGAAGGTGGCGAACTTTCTTGTACTTGTCCCCAAGGATACGAAGGAGCGCGCTGTGAGACGCGGCGACTTACCTGCTTTGATCGACCTTGTCACAACGGAGGAACCTGTGAACCGAAATCCTCCGGCTACGTGTGTGTGTGTCCGGTAGGGTTCGCGGGCACGGACTGCGCCCTCGAAGCCGACCCCTGCGCCGCCAACCCCTGCCGCAACGGAGCCACCTGCTCCCGAGCAGGCAACGGCTTCAAATGCACGTGCAGAACAGGCTTCAGAGGCAACCGATGCGAGATTGACATAGACGACTGCGCCGGCATATTGTGCGAACACGGCGGAACCTGCGTCGACCTTGTTAACGGACAGAAATGTCAGTGTGCTCCCGGATTCCTCGGCCCCCGCTGTGAAACTCGAGTCGACATGTGTTTGACAAAACCGTGCGCAAACGGCGGCGAGTGCCTAGTTCTAGACAACGACTACGGGTGCCGGTGCCGGCCTGGCTTCACCGGCAAGGATTGCAGCATCGACATCGACGAATGCGCCTCTTCGCCGTGCCGGAACGGAGGAACGTGTCGCGACCGAGTGGACGGGTACAGATGCGTGTGTCCGCACGGATGGGGAGGGCGCTCTTGTACCGTGTCGCTGTCGGAGTTGGCAGCGAAACAGGCAGGCGGACACTTGCCGCGCGTAGGTGATTCCGACGAAGAGGAGCGGCTGTCGGCGCAGCAGGTGGCGTGGATAGCGGCGCTGGGCGCTCTGGTGCCGGCGGGTGCGGGTGCGGCTGCGCTGGCCGTGGTGTGCGTCCGGCGCCGGAGAGCGCGGGCGGCCGCCGCTGCCGACGCGGAGGCGCGCGCCCAGAACGCGGCCAACGCGGGCGGCGGTCACGTGATCCGCAACACGTGGGGCAAGTGCGACGCGCCGCCCCCCGAGTGTCAGAACGCGCACAACGCAGCCGCCGAGGAGTGCAAGCGCAAGACGCTCAACACCGAGAGCGCGCGCCTGCTCGCCGCGCTTGATCCCCGACTCTCCAGGCTCTCCGCGGACTCGGCGTATTGCGCGAATAGGTGAGTAACAAAATAATAAATAAATATTTTCTAAATTATTGAACTACTACTAAAGTAATTCGATTAATTCGAGGTAGACAGCGACAACGTTTGATGCCATTTGATTTTTTTATTACAAACATTTTAATTTATATCCTGAAAAATTATACGTATCGTCCACCAAAAGAACTTGATGAAAAACGCTTGACCGATTATTATTGTCCACAGCGATACGTCGTTAGTGAAGCGGGCGCTGGAGGGCGGGGGGGTGTACGTGCTGGACGACCACTGCTTGCCGCCGACGTTCGCCACGCAAGTGTAGTGCTCGACGAGACTGGACACGATAATTTATTTATTACCGAACGGACGCTCTCGCGATTCAGGCTGTGCGCCGCGTGTAAATATAGCGTAAAGTGTAAAGTGACCCCTGTATAGACGGCTAGGTGTAAGCATTCGGATGTATTTATTTGTGAGTGCGATTCGTACGCCCCCTGTATATAGTATTGGCGCGACGGATCGCCAGTTCCGGCCCTGAGCACGAGTCCGTGACGTCACGCGGCGAGTCCGGGGCCGAGTGGTGAGTCCACTGTCTGCGATCTCTGTAGGTAACGTGCGAGCCACGCGCCCAAGCGCTGCGATCTGCGAGGACACGCACTAGGGGCGATACTAGATCTCTGCGTTTTAATAGATGCCATCGTCATTTACGTTGTGCTATAAGAAAATTTAATTAGACTAAAAAAAAGTTTTAACCGTTTCAGTTTTATATGATAGATTTGTTTTATGAATTGTGTTGTCGAACCGACCGGCTCCGCGCGAACATTCCAGAGCCAGCGCGCGCCGGTCCCGTACCGCCCCTACGAGCGAGCGCACAACTGATGCTATCCCTCTCGACTCGCACCGACATACAAACCAAACCGTGCGTTAAATAAGTTTTAGACTAATTTATATTTAAAATAAATAAAAAACACGCTAATTATGCGTTCATCACTTTTATATTGATTTATTATTGTTTTTTTCTTGTGATTTAACTAATTATTGTCATTTGTTCCTATGATTATTGTAGTGAATGATAAAAAAATCTTGTTGCGATTTTCTTGAAAATCGACTTTGATTTTTTTCCTTCTTTAAGCTGTACGGATGTAATTCAGTTAGCACAATAATGTAACGTTCCTGATACAGCGAAAGTCATTTTTGTATTGCACATATCGATCGATTCGTGTGTGTCGTCAAAAATCACTTTCGCGTCACAAAAATGTAAACATCACGCACGTAATTAGTCCATAGGTTTAACAACTTCAGTACTTATAAGAAACAAATTGTCGAAAGCTAAGTCATTGTGTATAAAAAAAAAACTATTAAGTTTTAGTGTTGTAAGTATATTCTCCATTACTTGTAAGAGTACTGCGACAATATAAGAAGCGTCAGGAGGCAACATAGGAGGTATTCCAGGTTGTTTTAACTTATTTATTTTTTTAAATAGGTGTGCAGCTGCAGTTTATTTACACTTTCGCCACTCGACCCGGCTCGCGCCCCGCGGGACGCGGTCCGGGCCGACTGCGGATCCATATGAAATAATTTATGTTAAAATACACTTATGAGACCTGTAGATATTACGATAAGTGCTAGATTATAATCGTATGTTGCCTTTTGTACACGAACGTAGATTAATGAAGGTTAAATCGACAAAATTGTAAAATTTATATCAAACTATGAATAGACTGATGACCAATAATAATTGTTCTTGTATTTAATTTTGTAAGATGACAAAACGGTACGTTTAAATTATGATAGAATCGTTAATGGAAATTACCAAACTATTTGTAAAGTTATTAGTGTCACGTTTTTGTACTTAAAATTGATCACGAATTAAACTAACTTTCATTTTTCTTTTTGAGAAGTTTTAAATATTGATTGCGTCTCAATTGTTTTTCATTCCGAGCAATAAAATGACAGTATTTTTAATTTATTTATTATGCCTGTATTATATTAAATGTGAATTTGCCTTAAATTTTATAAATAAATCATTGTTTAATTATTTTTTGTACTTAAGTTTACAATTGACTGAATGCTATTAATTGATTTGTATTTTGGACTCCTTTTTATTGAATCATTAATGTAATACATATTTTGCTTGCATTGTGTGAATATACTAAGAGTTAATTCTCAAATCATTCCATTCCTAAACTAGGTTGCCTTATGTAATCTTAATTATAATTTTGTCTATTATCTAAGTCTATTTTGCATGTAAAACCAGTAAATTAATCTATTTTCTCGTCTTTAAGAAACCTAGTGTCTTTCTTAACTTTTGGTATATTCACATGGTTTTTCGATTTCAAAAGAAAAATGAAAGCAAAAGAAACAGTGAATTCTATATTTAGCTACTACCTGAATAAAAGTCATATTATATTTGCTATTGCGGTGATAATTTTGCCAGCGAGTGTGTGACGAATGTGTAATTATGTGCAGTGATGCAGCGAGGATAAAATGTTAATAAACAATTGTTTACAAAAGATTAAACATTATTTTTTATTTTACCTCATACTACAAGAATAAATTATTTAGTGCNAAACAGTGAATTCTATATTTAGCTACTACCTGAATAAAAGTCATATTATATTTGCTATTGCGGTGATAATTTTGCCAGCGAGTGTGTGACGAATGTGTAATTATGTGCAGTGATGCAGCGAGGATAAAATGTTAATAAACAATTGTTTACAAAAGATTAAACATTATTTTTTATTTTACCTCATACTACAAGAATAAATGCAGAAATTATTTAATGCATACAACACTTAGTTGAAAGAAACGGAGGTATTTTAGACGGGCACTAAAGTTTAAAATATAGTCATCATTTGGAAGTGTAAGTGACACTTCTTTGGAGATAGTAAAACTGAAGTTCTATTCAGAATGTTCGTTGTTGTTTTTATTAAGGTGGACTTTTATTAAAGATTCAAGGATATTGAAACGTAAGTTCTTCTCTGTCGAAAGTGTTCAGTTTTTTGAACGAGTGAAACGAAGTTTCATTATCATGTAACATTCTTACAACACATAACCTAATTAAAAAGATGTGGAACCGAATGCAATGTTGAATGTGAATCGGTACTTAACATAGATTGAAAGATATTTGACCTGGATATCCGCCCTGTATCGCGATAGCTACATTTTCAAGAAAAGTCTACAAGTATAAGTTCCCAAAAATCATTCTGACCGTCACTTCAGTCTACCGACAAACTCGCTCGGAAAATGATTTTCCTTTGTCCATTTTCCAAGAATGAAATGCTCGTAAGAAGTTTTCTTCTTCCTGTATATTTATCCGCTTAGTATTCATTGAATTGGTTTCGGCGTCACTCATTTCTTCGTTTGCTATTATTTCCCATTACCATCGCATTTCCGTGACCCTGATCAAAAATAGTCCATTTCTGCAGCATTTTTTGAGAAAATAGTATTTTTACCAGTTTACACTAAAATTGTAATTTCTCAATCCCTTTCACCTATTCCTAGCTATGTTGATGTCATATATCTTGATCTCGGGTATTTCATTGCTAAACTGGAGCTATTTCAAAATATTCTGCAATATACTCATATTTGGCGTGCGAAAATTTAACTTTGTTGAATTTCGTCATAAGCTCAAGTTGTTGCCAAGTTCGTAGAGATGTTCGTGTCATTTTCTTATTCCTTTTAAGATAATTTGTTTTCAAAACTTGTGGTTCGATTAGAATCAATGGTTCACTTACTTTAACGTTTTTAGATTCTATGGTTTGAGATTCTTAACTAGAACTTATATGTTTTTTTTTCCATCCTAAGCTGATGGTCTAGACTAGACTCTAGAGATCATAACCTTAACTAGTAGGTGAGCTCACGAGTCTCAATCCTGACGATGTTGCTAACACGAACCCTAGCAAGTCGTGCTTCGCAGAATCTACCACCGGATCGGAAACGCGACCCACTGAGAAGATCCGGCGACGGGTTAACGAGTTCACGGTCCCCCTGGTGTAGTTGAGACATGAGGTCGAATTTTCAATTGATTTGTCTAGTGTCGTTAGTTTCTTGAGAATTAATATAGGCGGTTCTGAAATCCATTGTCAATGGCTCCGGTTAACCTTCTAACACTGGAAACTTGTACTATCACAACTCCAACTTAATTCCAGTCTCAAATTAGTTTTTTTTTAACTTGAGATCCGCGTCTCTGCAAACAATTTGGATCCGCAAATCAGAGTCAGAAGAATATCCTCGATGATTTCGTGATGTACCCTATCCTCTTTCAAAGGATACTCGAATATTTTTTAACGATACGAAGCGGCTTGGCTGTTTTAGGTGTCTATTTTTATTGTACGTATAAAAAGGAGTTACAATATGCATTACTTTTTATGCATAATAAAAAAACTCCTTTGCTTTCTGCAAAAATAACCTTTAAAAACCTGCATTTAGCGACTTCTTCTCCAGCCTGATATATCGAAATACCTAATTAAAATGTTGCCTTAAAACCATTTCTTCTGTACTACCGAGAATTCAATACTTTTTTTTTTTTTTTTATGATTGAAAGATTACTGGTGGCCCGGAGGCCTTTCCAGTTTCACCAGGACACGTGGGCGAGCAAAGGCTCAGGCAGGAGGGGTGGGATTTGCTAACAGCTACCCGAGCGCCTCCGAAGGAGACCTAACAGCTCAAGAGTAGCTGCTTCGCGAATGAATCTACTACCGGATCGGAATCGCGACCCGCTGAGAAGATCCGGCGAGAAACTCAGCGAGCTGATTCATGGGTTAGGTAGCACGGCGAACTCTTTGTCGAGTTCGACGAGTACGGTTACCGAGGTCCCTAAGCCTGCTCCTAGTGTTAGAGCTGAAGGCGTCTAATGCAAAGGTTATTGGATCTGATGGATCCGTAAGGACGTGTCTAGGGCGTCGACGGTGCCTGGCTCCTGCGTGATCAGGATTCGGGGAGTAGTCAGCGGCGGCTACGATAAGGCGATTATCATGACGCATAGCCTTATCGAAGTACCGTTCCGACGCTGACTTCATGTATTTCTGGATAGATTCGAGGCCCAGGTCGTCGTGTAGGTCAACGTTCCTCACGAACCACGGAGCTCCGACGGCTAACCTGCAAAAGCGGGATTGTAGNATATAATCGTCTCCTTCAAAGAATACGGTTCAAAACCTGCATTAAATAAAGGTTAATAGTTAACCTGTTATTTATCTAAGATGTCGTTCCGAAGAGTTTTGTGACTGCCAATGGAATACAAAGTCAATAATTCGTTTTTCTGATTTACCAATCATTGTCCAAAAGTCAGATTGCCGGCTTTGATAATAGTCGACTCACTTAGTCTGGCCATAAATACTGTTACAAAGGAAAACAAAGGAGGTCTCATTGCACCTATTAATAGCCCGGTACACAAACATTTTACTAATACCAAGCGTATGGAGAGTTTTAAAAATTGCATTTTGCTCCATACCTACTTTGTGTAATGCAATCACAGCGATTCGGTTCTCTTTATCACTCCACTCCATTGTAATATCGCAAAATATTGTACAATGTATTGGCGCCAAAATGAGAAAACTCAATGAGTAATCATATAAAAATGACAGATTCCAAATTCAAATGTAATATTTTGTTTATTTTTAATTGTAACAGTATTTATGGCCAGACTAAGTATATATTATATAAACTACATATGATTTAATTTAATTTAAGAAATTATAACTATAAATATAATTTCAGACATATATTTTTTATAGTATTAAAATTATACACCAGGGAAAATAGTCGCATTTCGTACCAGCAAAAAACCGTTTGATATTGTTTGTGTAACCATTTTTGCTGTGGGAATTTTGTGGAGGTGCTTTGAGTTCAATAGTCGATTAAATCTATCGATATTCGTTTTTCGTTCTATATATATATTTTTAGGCCTGCCAGGATGGGTACCACCATTTTGCTTATTTTTTGTTGTTAGGTTTGATGTTAGGATTAAGATTTCACCTCATATCGCAAGGGGGGAGAAGGCCACTCACGCGGGCTACCATATAGCGTGGTACTTATTCTTAAGGTTTGATAAGATTTTGTTATGTCTATGGATTCCGTTAATAAGCTTTTCTGCCCGTTCTAGCTTAAAAATATTGACTTTAATATTAATATCTAAGCTTAGTATCTACCCCAAGCTACTGCGATGATCTAGTAGGAAAAAAAAAAGTTCTTTTGTCGAGGTATTCAAATGATTTCATACTTATCATATTGCGAAGCAGTAGTTCTGTTTAACTGAACAACTGATCATTCAAACATAGATTATTATCGATAGCGAATGATTCATGGGAAATTTAGGACTCGATAAAAAATATCGATTAAAAGTAACGCCATCACTAAAGGCCAAATTCACACAGCAGCGACACGGATCCCGAGATCGCAGCATGTGGTCGTAACCATCTCATTGTGGTTATAAAATAAGTGACGCAAGCATGCAGGGAAGCCGTGCTCTGTCGTATGTGTTGACAGTTCGAATGTCAACATTGATTTGTTTATTTGAATCTTTCAATAAGGTTCGGGAATTTGATGTGGTTCCGGTAATCTTCTTCTTCTTCTTTTGAGTCGGTTTCTTCATTGCTGAAGGTCGTGTCTAATTTGAAATGTAGACCACTCGATGCACAATGCTTCTCCACGACTTCCTGTCCTCGGCGGTCTTTATAGCCTCGGTTATTGGCAGGCCGGAGAGCGTTTTTACCAGATCAGACCAGCGGGTAGGTGAGCGTCCGCGTGAACTTCTCCCGTCAACCTGACCAACTACCATCAGCTTCTCTAAGTTATCAGGGCCTCTACGAGCGATGTGACCGAAGTACGTGAGAATACGTTGGAAGCAGATAGCGGACAGCCTTGTGGCAATACCGAGCTCCTTCAGAATGGACAGGTTGGTCCGGCGTGCTGTCCATAGAATTTGCAACATCCGTCTCCAACACCACATTTCAAAAGCGTCGATCTTTGCCCTCTCACTTCGTCTTAACGTCTAGGATTCGGCACAATCAAGGAAAATTGAGAAAACCAATGTACATACCAGTCTCACTTTGGTTTTGCGGGATATATTGCGGTCTTTCCATACCCTAGTGAGCTAAGTCATTGCTCCTTTGGACAATGACTAAGCTCACTATTCCGGTAATAGTATAGATAAATTGACGAAGGAACAGAGCGTGCACTGTTCTGGAGACGCCTATTTGATCACTGACCATTCCTACCTCGTCCACGGAAGTTTCTTCAGGATAGGAAAAGGGCAACGTCTACATTTCCTCACTACCATCCTGTGCTCCACTTGCATTGATCTTAGCGTGATGTTATATAGCCAACAGCCTTCCTCAACAAATGAGCTATCTAGCACTGAAAGAATTTTTCAAATCGGACCAATAGTTCCTGAGATTAGCGCGTTCAACCAAACAAACAAACTCTTCAGCTTTATAATATTAATTAGTTATAAATTATTCCGTAACTTAAGCAGTTTTCAAAATAAGTCGTCTATGACCACGAAAGCTA